AGTTTAGAATTTTAATTTAAAGTATTACGTGTTGTGCGTGTACTTGGCGCACTTTTTTACCTTTTTTTAAAAAGGTAAGTTTTTTTCGGATTTAAATATACGCTGACGGCCTGCGCGCCGCCCGCACCGCGCGTTACCCCGCGCCATCAAGCGGCTCGAGCACCGCCCGCACCGCGCACTTCCCCGCGCCTACGAGCACCAGCGTAGAAAGACCGATCAAGCGACAAAGTACACTTTTTTTCGGAAGAAAGTGACTTTTCGGCACTGTAAATATTTTCTCCGCGAACCGACAAAACTCAGTTTTCGAAGCGACATTGTGTAACTCACTTTTCAGTAGAAAAGTGACCTTCCCCGCGATAAATATCATTTCTCGCGATAAACCGCGTTTTCGAGCGTCAACGCGAAACTTGCGCTTCGGAAAACAAAACATTTGTCCAAGGCTTCCGAACGGCCTTGACAGAGTCGCGCCGTTTAAATCACCAGCCGTATGTACATATCTTAGTTTTTTCTGTGTTTTCGTGAAAGTTGAATGAATCGGGTATAAACGTGACTATCTCACGCATCACCGATAGAAACGCGTTTTTTTTTTAAATCACCATACGGTGAATTGTTTTATTATACATATTTTTCTTTTCTTTTTGTTTGAATAAATTCTATCAATTTTGTTATTTAAAAATCACCGAGTTCACTCTATTTCTATCTTTTCCCTGATTCCGACGAGCTATTCCGCAGCAATTAAATTACTTAAAGAAAACGGAAACTTCTTACAAAAAGTAGAACTGTTACAATGTCGTCAATATAAACAAAACAATTATTTCCGACTAAGCCTTTTAATTCTTTATTCATCATACGTTGAAATGTTGGCGGTGCGTTTTTTAAACCGAATGGCATGCGCGTATATTCGTAATGTCCGTTCGAAGTTGAAAAAGCCGTTTTTGGAATATCTTTTGGATTCATGCCGATTTGATGGAAGCCCAACGCTAAGTCAAAGACGAAAAATAACGCGCGTTTCTTAATTGATCTAAAATTTCATCGATATTTAGAAGAGGATAAGCATCTTGAATAGTTTTTTCATTAAGTATATGTGAATATGGTCAATAAGAGCCATTCGCTGGATGTTTTTGCGGTAGTATTCGTGTATATGTAGATATGTACACATATATATACGTGTTCACATGTAAATCTTACACGTGAATTTTTGGATTAAAATTTCAATCCTAAAAATCATATAAGATGCTAATTTTGCATCTCATAAATGAGAGAGACCCCGTATACCCCCCTAATTAATTTTAAAATATTGCGAAAAAAACTCTTTAGCCAGGAGTCGAACCTGGAATCTCCGGCTTTCTGGGCCGTCGTCTTTTCTATTCGGCTACCGAGGCACTTGGAGTTTGTCTCGCAATATTCGTAATTAAAATTAGATTTTTAGGATTGAAATTTCAATCCAAAAATTCACGTGTAAGATTTACACGTGAACACGTACAGTGTGCGGCGCCAAAATCCGGACAAATTATATATGTTTTTCTAAATATGTTTTATTGCTACAATGAAAAGATTTACAAAATTTGTTTAGCTCCATTGTTTGTAAGGCCATAAATAATATATTCACTCAATATATCCCCCGCTTGCTTGAATGATC